GCTGAGCCCTGTTGCCGACTTCTCCCTCAATCCCGTCTCCCTGGGCCACTTCCACTACTCGGGACAAATACCACCCAGTCTCCTGTGGAAGCCCTGCACCCTTGCCTTCCTTCTCTCCCCCTGGCTTCCCCTGGCTCACCCAATCCAGCCCCACCTGCTCTCTCCATCAATGTGGCCAGCTGGTGTCTTGCCCCAGGGCTTTTGCGGTGCCCACTGTCTGAGATGTCCCACTGTCTAGGATGTTCGATTTGCTCCAGCTCCTCCTTCATTCAGCATTACCTCCTGGGGTGCCCTGCCCTGATTACCCAACTCTAAGACATACCCCCATCCGTGGAGGGGGCACATTCTCCTTGAAGTTGTGTTAGATTCCTCCTTCAGATCGTGTGCTGGGAGAGTGATGGTGTTTGTGACATCCATGTGTGTCCCCATCACTTGGCTCATAATAGGTGCTCAATCAGTGGACAGGGAATTTTTAAAAAAGATTTTATTTATTCATGAGAGACACAGAGAGAGAAAGAGAGGCAGAGACACAGGCAGAGAGAAAAGCAGGCTCCATGGAGGAAGCCCAATGTGGGACTCAATCCTGGGACTCCAGGATCACACCCTGAACCAAAGGCAGATGCTCAACCACTGAGCCACCCAGGCGTCCCCATGTACAAGGAATGAATGAATGACAGAATGGTAGTTATCCCTAATTCACTGCCTGTGACTGGTTGGTGGATTTAGGGCTCCCTCAACTTGCCTGGCGAGGTGGGGATAGGGTTGATCCAAATGATAGAGCAGGACTGGGGTGTCCCAGAAGGCTCCTTGGCTAGGAGGAAGGAGAGGGCAGGAAAAGGTGTTGGATCAGAGGGAAGAGCAAGTACACAGCAGTGGGGACCAAAGGAGCCAGGCCTTGAAAAGTGTTGCTGGCAGAGTCTGCTCAGGGCAGCTCCCCATACTTTAGGGGCTAAGACAGGTCCTCTCTTCCTCCCCTCCCGCAAGTAGGAGCGATAGAGGCCAACAAAGACAGTGGGCAGGCTCAGCCCGGCATGGGGGGGAGGGGCTACTTAGGGGACCTCTAGGCCGGATAGTTAGGGTAGGCTCCTTGGAGGAGGAGACACTGGGTTTTGAAGAATGAGTAGGAATTTTGCCTGGAGGATAAGGAAGGGCACTCCAGGCCAAACAAACATACACAGTTAAGGTTGGCCTAATTATAATAACGTAAAACACTTAAGAGAAAACAATTATGAGCTCTTACTATTTCTTCACATCCAATACAAATCACAATACTCGAGGCACCTGGCTGGCTCAGTCAGTAGAGCATATGACTCTTGATCTCAGGGCTGTGCGTTCTAGCCCCATAATGGGGTTAGAGTTTACTTAATTAAAAAATAAAATAAAATAAAACAAAAACCACAAGATTCCAAGAGGTGGGTGAGATTACTCACTCCATTTTCATGAGGAGGAAATGGAGACTCAGAGGGGTAACGGGCCTTGGGCTCCCTCTGCCTCCATATCCCAAGGTCTGTTTGCTGGTTAGTTTTTCAGCTAAGGCAGGTTCTGCCCAGAGTTCACCAGACCATTCACCCACTTGTCAAGGTGAAGGCCCAAGGTCACGGCGGAGGCTCCTTAGGCCACCCACTCATGTCCTGCCTTGGGGAGATGCATGGCCCCATCTGCTCCGATCTAGCCCCACTGCGTAGGCCCAGAGAAGGGTCCCAGGGCAAGGCTAGCAACAGGCTGGGGGCTGCATCTCACCTTGCGAGGGCAGGTCTGGAGGACACAGTGACCTACGTGCCTGGAAACACACAAATGGACACATACACACCCACCAGTATACATATATGTATACACACAGGCACACAGATCTACATGCCCACCCACACAGGCACATAGACCCCACCCTCATGTGTGAACACATCTGGGTACAGGGATCCATACATGAACACACACAGGCACAGACATTTGTGTGTACATAGACACATACTCACACCCCTGGGTCACTGCCCACCAGGCTAGGTCTCTTGCTCATGGTGACAGTTTCCTTCATAGCCTTCTTGCTTCACAGCCCAGTTAGGGGCAGGGCCAGGTGAGGCTGGGAAGTAGAAGAGGGGGGTTGGGGGCTGGGAACATTCATGCCAACAGGCAAGTCAGACAAACCTAGGCCAGAAACTGCCACTGCAACCAGGCCACGCAGTGTTCTTGTTTATGCCAAGTCAAGTGCTATACAGGATGCTGGAGACCCAGCAAATTCAGGATAGACAAGGTCCCTGCCCTCCAGGATCTTTGGGTCCACCCAGTCATTCTGAATGCTTCCAAGGCTATAATGGAAATAAGGTGAGTGGGAGGGGCCTCTAACCCCAAGTTTGCACTGGGGAAGGGAGCATCACACAGAGGACATAACATATGCAAAGGCCCTGAGGCATCAGTGGGCCCAGAAGCCAAGGCTTTTCACCTTTCAGAGAAGGTTAAAGGTTAGACAGGGGTCAGTGGAAGAAGGGGCCTTAGCCTCCACCATCTGGTTGAGAAACTGGCTCCATTCTGAGTGTGGTGGGAGCCATGGAGGGGTCATGTGAAGGGGCTGTCAGCTAGACCCAGATGTCCCAAGAATCCCTAGGGAGCATTGGGACAGGTTGTTCCCTTCCTCCTCCCTCATAGTCCATCTCCAGCCAGCCTTTAGGGAGGCCCTTGGAGCACTGACAAAAACAAAACAGTATTAAGTAGGTAACAATTACCAGCTAGGATTCCTGCCTAACAACCAGGAAGGGGAGGGCTGCTAAGGAGGAAACTGTGGGGACCTACAGGCAACCACCCTCACCTCAGGACCCACAGCACACCCTGGCAGATGCAGAGTAAAAATATAGGCGGCTGCCCAGGAGCAAGAGGCCAAGGTTCTACCAGGTGGATAAGAGGTCTGGCCTGGTCACACCTTGCCGAGCCTCAGTTTCCCATCTGTAGGTCAGGAAGCCAGACTCCGTACTTTCAGAATCCTCAGTGAAAAGTATCAGGATCAAAGCGCTTCCAGCAACTTCTGGCAGTTTTCCTTTTCCCTCCCTCGTCTTTCTGGGGCAAACACACCACCGGAGATTCGGGGGTAGGGGTGAGACAGAGGCCGATCTGGCCCAAACGCCCAGGGATCCACGGGGAACAGCTAGCTCCCTAAAGCTTTCTGCCCTCAGCCCGTGCGGAGCCAGGGCAGGGGTGCGCTGAGGAAGGCACTTGTAGACGTAGTGGAGCGGGAGGTGCCAGGGAGTTATTTATCCATCCGGGCCCCATCCCCCGCCGGTCCCCGGAGGCCGGCACCGCCCCCACCCCCGCCCAGCCGGGGCCCCACGCGCGGATACGGGGCGGGGCTTTGGGACGGGCAGGAGGCTGGTGGCCGGGCTCATCACGCCACCCGGGACGTGCCTTGGCGGGAGGCAGCGCTGGGGGCATTGGTTGTACACTGCGCTCCCGGGGCGGGGTAACCGGGTCCAGGAGTGGGGCCCGCCTCCATGACGTCAACCCACAAGGCAGCGCGCTGTTGTGCGGTTTACCGCGCGTCACCGGGGCAACGGCGCCAGGGGGGCGTCAGTGGTTTGGCCCCGCCCCACCATGCAAATGAGCGACGTCACCCACACCCAATGGCGAGCGGGGGCAGTGAGCTCATCGCACTGGGCCGAGGCTATAAGAGGGCGCGCGAACTGCGCGGCGCAGGAGCCGCCGCCAGCGGAGGGCCGGGCGCAGCGGCCTCGGCCGGGGCGGGCGCAGGGCCGAGCGGACGGGGGGGCGCAGGCCCCCCGGGCGGCCGCGGCCACTCCCCCCTCCCCCCGGGCCGGCGCGGCGGGGGAGGCGGAGGATGGAAACACCCTTCTACGGCGATGAGGCGCTGAGCGGCCTGGGCGGCGGCGTCAGTAGCAGTGGCGGCGGTGGTAGCTTCGCGTCCCCGGGTCGCCTGTTCCCCGGGGCGCCCCCGACGGCGGCGACTGGCAGCATGATGAAGAAAGACGCGCTGACGCTGAGCCTGAGCGAGCAGGTGGCGGCGGCGCTCAAGCCCGCGGCCGCGCCGCCCCCGGCCCCCCTGCGCACCGACGGCGCCCCAGGCACGGCGCCCCCCGACGGCCTACTCGCCTCGCCCGACCTGGGGCTGCTCAAGCTCGCCTCGCCCGAGCTCGAGCGCCTAATCATCCAGTCCAACGGGCTGGTCACCACCACGCCGACGAGCACTCAGTTCCTCTACCCCAAGGTGGCGGCTAGCGAGGAGCAGGAGTTTGCCGAGGGCTTCGTCAAGGCCCTGGAAGACTTGCACAAGCAGAACCAGCTGGGCACGGGCGCGGCCTCGGCAGCCGCGGCCGCCGGAGGACCCTCGGGCACGGCTGCGGGCGCGGCGCCTCCTGGCGAACTGGCCCCAGCGGCAGCCACGCCCGAGGCGCCCGTCTACGCGAACCTGAGCAGCTACGCGGGCGGCACCGGGGGTTCGGGGGGTGCTGCGACGGTCGCCTTCGCCGCCGAGCCTGTGCCCTTCCCTCCGCCGCCGCCCCCAGGCGCGCTGGGGCCGCCCCGCCTGACCGCGCTCAAGGATGAGCCGCAGACGGTGCCCGACGTGCCAAGCTTCGGCGAGAGCCCGCCGTTGTCGCCCATCGACATGGACACGCAGGAGCGCATTAAGGCGGAGCGCAAGCGGCTGCGCAACCGCATCGCTGCCTCTAAGTGCCGCAAGCGCAAGCTGGAGCGCATCTCGCGCCTCGAGGAGAAAGTGAAGACGCTCAAGAGCCAGAACACGGAGCTGGCGTCCACAGCGAGCCTGCTGCGCGAGCAGGTGGCGCAGCTCAAGCAGAAGGTCCTCAGCCACGTCAACAGCGGCTGCCAGCTGCTGCCCCAGCACCAGGTGTCCGCGTACTGAGCCCGCGCGCGGGGCGCATGCGCGGCCCCCCTCCCCGGGAGGCGGGCTCGCGTGGGGGGGGCGTGGGCGCCCCGGACTCGGAGAGGGCGCGGCCCCGGGGACACCCCCCTCACCCCCGGGGTGCCAGGATTCCGAGATGGCGCGGTCCCGGAGGACCCCCCCCGGGGGTGCCCAGGACTCGGAGAGGGCGCCTCAGACTCGACAAGCTGGACCCCCTGCTCCTTGGGGGGGCAAGCGCATGACCCCCCCGCCCTCGCGCTGCCTCTGTTCCCCGAGCGCGGCCACCCAGTGTTGCACAAACCCGCGCGCCCCGGCCGCCCCTTTGTACACACCGCCGCCGAAGGGGACTCCGAGGGGGCGCAGCCTCAAGCCCTGCCTTTCCTTTTACTTTTTTTTTTTTTTTTTTTTTGCCTTTGGAAGAGAGAAGAACAGAGTGTTCGATTCTGCCCTATTTATGTTTCTACTTGGGAACAAACGTTGGTTGTGTGTGTGTGTTTTTTCTTGTGTTGGTTTTTTAAAGAAATGGGAAGAAGAAAAAAAAAAAGAACTCCCTTCCCTTTCCTTGCTCTTGCTCCCTCCCTTCCGTCCTTCCGACATCCCTCCTCCCGCCCTTTTTGTTCTGTTGTTTTGTTTTGTTTTGCTACGAGTCCACATTCCTGTTTGTAATCCTTGGTTCGCCCGGTTTTCTGTTTTCAGTAAAGTCTCGTTACGCCAGCTCGGCTCTCTGCCTCCTTCTTCCCCCGCCGGGGCCTGATGGGCTGGGCAGGGCCTGGCTCGCACGCTCCCCCTCCCCCCTCCCCTGCCTCCTTCCCCCTCCTCTCTCCGCCCCTGCTAGAGGAGGAGAGCGGGCGTACGGGAGGGGCCTCGCACATCTGGCGCGCAGCGAGCGCCATCTAGGCGCTCCTGGGCCTGGGGCCGACTAATGTCCAGGTTAGGTGGGGGACATTAGGATCTCCAACTGGCGTTTGGAACTAGCGAGCCCCCGGGTGGGTGTCACCTTGGGGGAAGAGAGGCTAGAAGATGCAAAGAGGACAATCCGAGGCAGGTAGGAAAAGGCAGAAATTTGAACCTCTGGGCCTCCGTTACCCTGTCTGTAAAATGGGCAGAACAGTTGTAAGCTTGCCCCATAAAGTTGGATTAACAGTTTGTTCACAGAGTAGTGCTTGGCTTACAGGTGCTCACAGTTGGTGCTCAGTGTAAGCTTTTATTATTGGCTGGCGGATGGGGGATGCTGAGCCTCAGGACCAGAAGGAAGGTGGCCCAGGTTGGATCCGACTTAGGCAGTCTGCCTCCAGGACTGGAGGTGTGTCTACATTCTGTGGGACCTTCCTTTTAGGGCACAGACTTGGAATCCAGATTTTCCAAGTACTCCCTGAAGACCTCTTCCTCTCTAACAGCCTAGTCTCCCATTTTAAGGAAACTAATGTTCAGAGAGGTTGAGTGATTGAAGGTCACACAGACTGAAATTTTTAGGAGTTTGCAGGGACATTTGGACCTTAGGCCTCTCACTTCCAGAACCTGGATGGCCAGGCTGCCTTCTTCCCCTGCCTACTCTGGCCCTTGCTGTTGTTGAGCAAAAGACTCCGGGCCTTGGGCTTCTGCCTCACTTGGGCCCTGAAGGGACTTAGGCATTGGTGGCCAAGGACACAGGGCAAGTCCAGCTGGTGGGCATGTGTGGAGCACCAGCAGTATACCAGTCCTACCTGGAAAGGTGGGTGAACTGTGCCTGTTTTACAGATGGGGAAGCAGGGATGCAAAGAAGGAGCAGCGTGTACCCATAGTTCCTCTGCCATTGAAAGGGTGGGGCCTCACCACCTACCTGTTTCCTCTTCTGATCACCCTGGCTGCCTACTGTTCAAGGCTTCAAGAACTGCTTTGGGGTTTGGTTTTTAGCCATGTGACCTCACCGCCTTCAGGCAGATGTTTCAGAAGGGGGCCCAGCAGTGAGAGGCCCAAGCTGAAGTGGGGGTGTCTTGACACAGGACACCAAGAACCACAGTCTGGGGGAGCAGAGCTTCAGTCTTCAGGAGACCGAGTCCCAACTTGGGTGCCAGTCTGCTGCTGTATAGCCTCAACCAAGTCCTCTTCCCCTGCCCCCTCTACCTTCTGTGCTTTGGAAATGGGTATGTTCATGTCCAGGTATCAGTTTGGTGGATGGATAATAATGATACTTGTGCTCCCTGTGCACCCCCAATGTATAGAGAAGGGGAGGCCCAGGAGGTTGGGAGATCCGTGCAATTCCCCTCGAACTGTTTTACTCATAATCCCAATGCCAAGTGTGTTGTGGGGCGGGGGGGGGGGGTTCCCCACACCAACCAGTTCAATTTTCTACACACCAACCAGGTGTCCTACAATTCAGTTCTGACACTACCTGGAGTTTGTGCAGACCCTACAGGTGAAGGGTTTAGTCCCACCACACCATTGCCACTCAGATGCCATTCGGAAATCTCAGGTTCTGAACAACAAGCCCTCAACCAAGGGTTTCCACACTCCCACTCCAGTTTTGATAATTTGCTGGAAGAGCTCACAGAGCTTAGAAAAGTGCTTTATTTACTATTACTGGTTTATTATAAAGGATACCACTCAGGAACAGCCAGGTGGAAGAGATGCATGGGGAAAGATACAGAGAAAGGGGCCTGGAGCTTCCATGCCCCGTCTGGGTGCACCACCCTCTCAGCACCTCCATATATTCACCAAGCCGGAAGCTCTCTGAACCCCGGTGGTTTTCTTTTCTTTTCTTTTCTTTTCTTTTCTTTTCTTTTCTTTTCTTTTCTTTTCTTTCTTTCTCTTTTCTTTTCTTTTCTTTTCTTTTCTTTCTTCTTTCAAAGATTTTATTTATTCATGAGAGACTGAAAGAGAGGTAGAGACATAGGCAGAGGGAGAAGCAGGTTCCCTGCAGGGAGCCTGATGTGGGACTTGATCCTGGGACTCCAAGATCAGGTCCTGAGCCAAAGGCAGATGCTCTACTGATGAGCCATCCAGTTGTCCTAACCCCAGTGGTTTCATTCCACAGGCATGATTGGTTGAATCATTGGCCTGTGGTGATTAGTTCAATCTCCAGCCCCTGTCCTCTCCCAGGAGGTCTGGGAGGTGGGACAAACCTCCAACCCTCCAATGGCTCCGCTTTTCTGGGGACCAGCCAGCATCCTGGTCCCCAGCCACGATGCATCTTACTAACATACAAAAGATACTTACAGAGCACCTGGCTGGCACAGTGGATTAGGTATCCAACTGGATTTCGGCTCAGGTCATGATCTCAGAATCCTGAGATCCAGGCCCACATTGGGATCCACACTTAGCTCAGAGTTTGCTTGAGATTATTCTCACCCTCTCTCTCTGCCCCTCCCAGTTGCCCTCTCTCACACTCTTTCTCTCAAACAAACAAACAAATATTTTAAAAAAGAAAGGAACATCCCTCCCAAAGATTCCAAGAGTTTTAGGAGCTGAGTGCCAGGAACCAGGGACAAAAACCAAATATATCTTATTGTATCCCACTCCTGCTAAATGGCAGAGCAGTGGCTAGAACCCTGGACAGTTGCCTGCCTCCCAGGAGCCTTGGGTCTAAGTGGAGGCCCTATCTTCTCACAAGGATGTGACACGGGGGCTTTTGGGAAAACACAGATCTGATTCCCTACTTGAAACCTTCCTGAAAAAAAGTCCTTGAGTGCATCTGGCCCTGAAAAGATCAATGTCTTTCCAGGAACCTCCCTATCAAAACTCTGTTTCCTTAATTTATGGCCTCAGGGCCTTTGCACAGCTTCAAGTCTGGTAACACTTCTTCCCTCAGCTACCCAAATGACCTTTGCTCAAACTCAGCTGCTGTTGCCCTCCTGGCCCCCAACAACCCCCAAGCGGGGCTGGGGCCTTCTTGTGTTCCCACAGGGCTTTGTGCTTCCACCATTATTGCCCTGACCACTGGATTTGTGTTTAGCTCACTGAAAGCCTGGATGGGAGCTGTCCTGGTCATTGCTGAAATAAAGGACATAGATCCTGTCCAACTGTCATGTCCCCGGTTTTGCCCGAAGCTACACCAACAGCGTGGAGAAGAGGGGACCTCTGCTGAGTGGGGCTGGGTGTCCCTGTTTGCCTCTTGCTCTGGTGCCTCCCAGTGGCTCCCCAGAGAAGCCAGGCTGAGGCTGCTGGGCCAGGCTGTGTGGCTTTGGCAGGAACCTGCTGAGCTGAGGCCAAGGTGTGTGTCAGCCCCAGCCTGGCCAGCAGTGATTCAGCCCAGGCATCAGCCCAGCCCCAGGAGGTGGATGGGGACGGTGGCCTCACTTTCGCCTTTAGGACTGTGGCTCAGAGTCAATACCCACTTTTGCCAGGCCCTTATGGGGATCCCAAGGGACCTTGGGCCCAGCTCTGCTCTAAGGATGGCCCATCCTCAGAGCCAGACACAGATACCCACCTGGCCTTTTAGGATGTGAACCAGAGTATAAGAGCTGTGCCTTCTTTGCTCTAGACCCTCTCGGGGCTCCCCGGAGCCTTCCTGATAAAACCCAAACTCTCATACTCCTGAGGTCCTCCCAATTCAGTATTCCACCTCCTGGCCCTCTTCTGCCTCCAACCACCTCAGCCCCCATGTTCCCTAATCATGCCCATCCTGTTCCCACCTTGGGCCATGTGGTGCCCTTCCCCCAGCTCTCCTAAGATTACTCCTTCGCCTCCTGCGCCTCCTGTGGGACTCAGCCCATCCACCCCCTCTTTGATTCCTTCCTAGCAGTTTCACACCCCCAAATTATTTGAGCTGTGTCGCTAGGCAAAGTTAGGTGTTCCTCAGAGGCACCTGGAGGGCTCACTTGGTGGAGCATGTGACTGGATCTCGGAGTTGTTGGGTGTAGAGATTACTTAAAATATATTTTTTAAAGATTTTATTTATTCATGAGAGACAGAGAGAGAGAGAGGGAGGAGACGGAGGCAGAGGCAGAGGCAGAGGCAGAGGCAGAGGGGGAGAGGCAGGCTCTCTGTGGAGCAGGGAGCCTGGTGGGGAACTTGTTCCAGGACCCTGGGATCATGACCTGAGCTGAAAGCAGACACTGAATCGGCTGAGCCACCCAGGCACCCTTAAAAATAAAATCTTAAAAACAAAAACAGAAAGTTAGGTGTTCAACAAATGCCCAAGGTATGTGAGACTGAGTTTGCCTTGAGACACATGTAGGGGAAGAATTTGAGGCCCCCTCTGCTCAGAGCCCTAGTTTTCTATTCAGGACAGGCAGGCAGTATGTAGCAACCACCAAGACCCTTAGTCTGATCTAGGTCTTGTCCCCAACACTGGGTCTGCCTTCTATTTTTTTTTTTTTTAAGATTTTATTTATTTATTCATGAGAGACACAGAGAGAGGCAGAGACATAGGCAGAGGGAGAAGCAGGCTCCCTGCAGGGAGACTGATGGGGGACTCAATCCCAGGACCCCAGGATCATGACCTAAGCCGAAGGCAGATGCTCAACCACTGAGCCACCCAGGCATCCCTGGGTCGGCCTTCTAGAACTCTCTTCCCCCAGGAGCTGGTGGGGATTGGCTGGAACTTGGCCGTGAGTCACAAAGCCATTGTGGCACCAGGGCCCCAAGGCTGGCCATTCGGGCTGGTGGGTTCAGCTTCAGGGGCAGGTGAGTGGGGCTGGTGGAGGGTTTAGTGGGGGGTACACGGAGGCTGGGTTGTTCTCCCCTGGCCCCCAGCATCCTCAGAGTCCCCTTGGGCCCTCCAGGCCACTTTAAAAAGTGGGTCAGCTTCTCAGCCCCTCAAAACAGGGGCACTTGGGACCCCCGTAAAAACTGATGGTGGGTTTGTCTGCCTGAGGTCCTAGCCTGGAGAGCCTACCATGTTTCCCTGGGAGGCTGGGAAAGTGGTTTTAGCTTGTATAAGGAAACTGAGACTCAGAGGGGTTTACTCAAAATCGCCAAGCCAGCCATTCCGCTTACATGTCTGGGGGCCCCTAATCCTTTTTCCTGTCCCCTGTAATCACATTCCTCTCACTTTGTTGTCTATTTGTTCGTTCATTCTGGTTGAGTTCACTGAAAGGACTAAACCATGTGGCTGGTGAAACCGCAGACTCTAGGATAGGTCAGTTCAGATCCTAAAGCTGTTCTCCCTAAATTCTTCAGAACTTAGCTTGAGTGGTTCTCATCCATCCATCCATCCATCCATCCATCCATCCATCCATCCATCCTCTTTCAACCATCCATGTATCCATCTATCCATCCGTGTATCTATCCATAAACATATCGAGCACCTCTTGTGTACACTGTTCTAGGCATTGGGGATTCAACAGCAAATAAAAGAGACAGACATCCCTACCCATGGGCAGCTCATAGTTCAATGGGGGAGGCAAATCAGAAATAACATAAAGAAGTATGAAATATAGTATGTTGGCTTCCCTGGGCCTCAGCCTCCTCCTCTGTGAAGTGGAGACGATGACTGTGCCCACCTCCTGGAGAACCAGTCTCAGGCCCATTACACTGATGCTTGTTCTGAATGGGCCGAGCCCATTTGCGGCTGGGATGAAGACTGGGAAGGGGCAAGACACTCAGGCCATCAAATAAGTGAAGCTAGAATGTTCACCATGAAAGGAGGCAGCACAGGGGTCTTTGAAAACAAATCTATTTTGATCATCTTTGTCTTGAAGTTTTTAATCTATTATGTCAATTACTAATATGGTTGAATTTAAGTCTTCTGTTGATGGGCATTTTTAGATGGTTTCTGGTTTGGGGTGAGTATGAACACTTGTACCTCTTAAATGTAAATGTTAGGGTGGAATTGACAAGTTACCTTCAAGACTGACAGTTTCCCCAGTTGGTCATGATGTGTCCACCCTTTCAATTTTAGCCATTTTTGTGGATCTGGACACCATTTCTAATGGCCGGATAGCATACAACTGTATGAATGTCCTGTTTAATTTAAGCCACCTCCTAAGTTATTTTTAGTTTTTACTCTTCATAAATAATACAGTGATGAACATCCTTGAACACTCTCCTTTATGCACTTGTAACTGACTCTCTGGCAATCACCTTTTTGGTTATTTCTAGTTGATCCGCTTTTACATATAAAAGAACACTAGTGTAAAATTCCTTTTGCATTCATCTTTGTGGACTTAAAAGTTTTTGGCTTTTGTTTTGAAATGTTAGGGTTTTTTATTTTTGTTTTTCTTTTAATATCTCTCCTCACATTGGGCTTGAAAACAGAGCCAGCCCAGGGCAGTGTTGCTGTACGTTGCATGGGATGAAAAGCTGAATGAAGGCTGCTTCCTCTTACAAGCTGGCTTCTGAGATTGCACCTTCTCCTCCTGTTCCTCCTCCAACTCTATGGCCTTCCAAGGTATGAAGATGGCTGGGAAAGGGGAATCGGCTGTTTCAGCCAAAAGTTGGGGGTGGGTTTCTGCCCAACAAACATGTTATGCTCCAGGTGACATATCAAGGATGCTTGGCAGTATCCATCCCAATTCCCTCTGAGCCAAGGTGCTTTTGGAAGCCATAGTGATCCCCTCATTCTTCTACCCACCCATCTGCCAGTGATCTACCCATTATCTGTTAATCATTCACCATCCATGCACTGATCCATCCAGCCATTCATCAGTTCACCTCTTATTCATTGATCTCTTCACCAATTCCTTCAGCTCTCTCCATCCACACACTCATTTATCTACTCAGGTCTCGTCCATCCTCTACTCACTTGTCTGTCCATCCATCCATTCCACCCTTCTTTCCCCTCCTGCTTATTCATCCATCCACTCGTTCATCCATTTACCCACTCATCCATCCATCCATCCTTCCATCCATTCATCCATCCATCCACCTACCCATCTGTCCATCCATCCATGTGTCCATTTCCTTATTTATTGACCTATTCATCAATTCATTCATCTACTTCATTTACCTATTTATTCTTCCACACAACCCTTTATCCATCTTTCTAACCCATCCACCATTCATTTATCCAGATATATCCATTCAGTATCTATCTACCCAACTTCCAATCCCCTCCATCATTCATTTATGAATATAGCCACCCACCCAACACTCACCTGTCCACAGCCTGGAACCCAGGCCCTTTGACTGAGATGAGGACACAGAAATGACTCAGACCTGGTTCCTACCCTCTATGAATTCACAGTAAACAGGGAGAGGCAAATAACACACACACACACACACACACACACACACACAGAGGAAATTTCCCAAATAGTATGATCAGAGCTATATTCACAGTATGTTCCAGATATAAAGGAAGTTCAAAAAGCAAGAAGGTGATTGGGCTTTCAGCTGAGAATGTGTGCATTGTTGCCAGCACTGAAGTAGCCACAGGATGATGAGGGAGATGTAGATATCAAAGGCCACCTGGGCAGGTAGCTGGGAGAGAGGGGGGCCTGCAGAGGAGAGGAGAAAGATTGCAAGGTGTCAGAAACAAGAAGATGTAGGTACTGGAGCGCTTGCTCCAGCCAGGAGACCTCTCATCTTTATGGTCAGACCACTCTCTGACCACCTCTCTGCCCCCCTCCACAGGCAGAGCTGACCCACCCAGGAACCAAGACAATGCAGGAAGCAACACAGCTACAGTTGTCACCTGATGGGCAGAGCTTCTACCAGCCCCAGTCTGTCTCTAATATCCAAGACAGAGCAAGGACACTGAGTCCACAGCCTCAGCACGAGCCACTTGTGTCCAGGGAGACCCTTCTGCAACAGCATGACAAGGACAAGATGGTGTCTCGTCACATCCCACACCTACGGGCTGTGGTTGAGAGCCAGGCCTTCAAGAACGTCCTGGTGGATGAGATGGACATGATGCTCTCCCGTGCAGCCACCCTCATCCAAGCCAACTGGAGAGGCTACCAGCTCCGGCAAAAGCTGATCTCCCAGATGATGGCAGCAAAGGCCATCCAGGAGGCCTGGCGACGCTTCAATACTAGGCGTCTCCTCCGGTCCGGGAAGTTGGTGGAAAAAAAAGTGAGCATGGAGGAGGGGGACATCCCTTACCATGCCCCCCAGCAGGTGCGGTTCCAGCATCCTGGAGAGGGCAAGCCCCCTCTGACCCAGCCTGTCATGGTGAGCAAAGAGACCCAGTTCCCTTCCTCTGACAGCCTGGCTGCCTACACCCACCAGCTGGCCCTGTTCCAGAGCCAGAGTACTCTACAGCCTGGCATGCAGGCTCCTTGTGCCACTGGGGGCTCCAGCATCACCTTCCTGCCACACCAGACCGTTGCCATCAGACTTCCATGTCCAGTGAGTCTAGACACAAAGTGCCACCCATGCCTGCTGACCAGACCTGTCAGAAATGCCTGCCTTGTCCATGTAGAAGGGGACACGGTGAAGGCCAAGCAAGTAACTGCCAGAGTCAACAAGGCAGGAGCCCCAGGGCCTCCACCATGTGGAAGGTATGCTCAGGCCATTCATGGATCACTCAAGACCCAGACCCAGGCCCACATGGAAGCAGAGGTCCTCAAAGCCCCACCCCAAACAGGCCCAGCACCTGTGATGAACAAGACCCCACCTCAGATGTATCTGGTGGCCACAGTGACCAAGACCCCACCCCAGCCATGTCCAGTGCCCACGGTAACAATAGCCAAGACCCCACCCCAGACATACCCAGTGTCCCGGGTAACCAAGACCCCAACCCAGATGTACCCAGCAGCTGCAATGACCAAGACCCCACCCCAGACATACCCCGCAGCCGCAATGACCAAGACCCCACTCCAGTCATGCCTGGCAGCCATGATGAACAAGACTCCACCCCAGCCGTGCTCAGCAGTAACAATAACCAAGGCCCCACCCCAGACGTACCCGGTAGCCCCAGTGGCCAAGATCCCACCCCAGACATGCCCAGTGGCTGCAATGGCCAAGACCTCACCTCAGGCATCCCAGCCAGTCACAATGATCAAGAGCCCACTTCAGTCATGTCTGGCGGCCATGGTGAACAAGACCCCACCCCAGCCATGCCCAGCAGCCCCGATGTCCAAGACCCCAATCCAGATGCGACCAACAGCCTCAACGACTAACACTGCACCCCAGACACGACCGGCAGCCATGATGGCCAAGATCTCACCACAGATATGCCTGTTGGCCTCTATGATCAAGCCCACAACACAGGCAAGGCCTGTGGCCGTGACGACCAAGACTCCTCCCCAGACGTGCCCAGTGCCTGCTGTGGCCAGGACTCCAACTCAGATGCGCCCAGCAGCCCCGATGACCAAGACCCCACAGCAGACGTGCCCAGCAGCTGGTGTGGCCAAGACTCCATCTCAGACACTCCCAGGGGCCACAGTGACCAAGACCCCTCCTCAGACGCGTCTGGCAGCCATGGTCACCAAAACCCCAGCCCAATTTCGCTCAATGGCTGCCATCCTCAGGACCCTCTGCCTGCCACCTGCAGCAGCTGGAAATCTGAAGTCTTCGCCTCCAGCAGTGGCAGCAGCTGGAATTCCCAACACCTCATCCCACACATATCTAAATGGACCAAAGGCCAAGGCTGTGGTGAGCACAAAGCAGACAGCAGGCATGGTCAAGATCTCTTCTCACTCATACCTGGCTAATGGAAAGGTCAAATACTTTTCCTCACATCTGGGAGCTGGGGCCCCCAAGGCTCCAGCCAGACCACCTTTGGAAGCTGAAAAACTCAAGGCCGTCTCCCAGAAGCAGGTGAAAACAGAAACAATGTCTAATACCACCATAGCCATTGAAATGCCCCGGGATTCACCCTGGGCAAAAGTGGCTGAGGACAGGAGCAAGTCCTCATTACAGACACACCTGAGGACGGATGTCGTGAAGGTTCAGTCGCAGGTGTATATGCCCATAGAAACAGCCGTGGTCCTGCCCCAGGCACAGTTGGCCACATGTCCAGTCAAGGCCCTGCCCCAGACACATCTGGATACATGTCTGGCCAAAGCTCTGCCCCAGGAACGGCCGGCCACCTGTTCAACCACAGCCTCGTCCCAGCGACAGCTGCTTGCAGAACTGACTGCGGCCTTGCCTCGGGCACATCTGGGCACCTGTCTGGCCAAGACCCTGTCCCAGGCACATCCATCGGCCAAGCTGGCCAAGGCCCTGTCCCAGGGACATCCACCTGCTGAGCTGACCACATCTCAGGCTCAGGCACACCTGGGCTCCTGTCTGTCCAAGGCCCTGTCCCAGGCACATTCGCCCTCCGAGCTGACCAAGGCTCCGTCCTTCGCACATCTAGGCACGTGTCTGACCAAGGCACAGTCTCAGGCTCATCTGGCTACAGGAGTGATGAAGGTCCAATCTCAGGCACATCTGCCCACCGGGCTGACCAAGGTGCAATCCCAGGCCCAGCTGGTCACAGAAACAGCCAAGTGCCTCTACGCAGCCCACCAACCTGCTGAGCTCAGCAACAAGACCCAGTCGCAGCCGTTCCTGGCTGGGTTCAAGGCCTCCACCCAGCCCTGCCAGCACGTTGGTGCTCTTGGCCCTCTGCCCCGACCCACACCAGAGGACAGACTGACCCAGATCCAGCCCCATGACTGTGCTCAAGGCAAAGCCACCCAGGGCCCACGCCAGGGGGTCTCTGAGGCCCAGAGCACGCTAGTGCCTCTGCTGGCGTCTGCCGGACACCCCGCATGTAACGTGGAATCCTGGGGTGATAGCGGGACTACCCGGACCCAGTCATCGATGGCCAGCCCTGCCATACCCTGCCAGGAAGACCTGGCGACCTCCCAGCTGGCCTCCCTGTGCGCGGAGCTGGCTGCCGAGCTGGGCTCCCAGGAGGACCTCCGTGCCCTCTTGGCAAAAGCCCTTTCCCAGGGGCAAGTGAGGGCAGCCCTGAACCAGGCTCTGTCCAAGAAAGTTCTGGGCGCCACGATGGCCAAGGCCCTGCCCCAGGGCATGCTGGGCGCAGCGCTGATGAAAGTGCTGTCCTGGGGCGAGCTGGGCCTCGCCCTGTCGCGCACCCTGTCCCCCAGCGAGCTGCGGGCAGAACTCACTAAAGCCAAGCAGGGTAAACTGGTGGACGTGCTCAGCAAGGCCCTGACAGAGGAGGAGTGGGCTGCTCTGAGCCAGGCCCTGTGTCAGGGGGAGCTGGGCGCTGTCCTGAGCCAGTCTCTGTCTCAGGCAGCCCTGAGGACTGGAGTCTTCCCCAAGGCCGCCTCGAAAACAGCAGGAAGCAGGTTGACTATGGTCCCCGCCCCGGTGGAGGTGGACTACAGGGGGAGCCCATCGGCCGCGTGGGGGCCCAACCTAGGCCTCGTGAGACCACAGCCCAGCAAGGTCAGGGTTCCCCAGGACGGGGCCTGGGAGGGCTTCGTCACAGGCTGGCCTGCCGGGTTCTTGGAAGAGATGGGGGATGGGGCCATGCTCGGGAGGTCACCCTGCTCATCGATGGTCTTTATGGGTGCCTCCCTGGCTAGTAGAGTGATCACCATGATTCATCAGTATTCCCTGATTGCTGCCCTGGACCCCACTCTGTCATGGGAGATGGAGCCCAGTAAGGCCTCCCCAAACCTTTATTTGAGCCCTGAGGTCAGTGGGGAAAATGCGTGCCTGGCCCCAGGCACCAGTGAATTGGCATCAGATCTCAACCCCATGGAGAGTGACACGGGCCCTAATTTGCCCAAACCACCCCACTTGCAGCTGCCCCCCAGTCTGTGGCAGCTGCTCATTGCCAATGGCGTGGGCCCAAGCACCAGCCAGCCATCGGTGGCTGGTGGCACAGCCCCAAGCGCCCATAAGCCACATATGGTCAGCAGGGTGGCCTCACGTCGGTGGGCGTCGACCGGGGAGGGCAAGGGGGCCTCAGGTACACTTCCCTGCACCGCGGGTGGTGGGAGGGCTGCCCATTCCCAGCAGTGCAGCGTTACCTACGGGAGATCTGTTTGCTGGGGTCAGCCCTCCGGGATCAACAGGGTGCCCCCCCGTGTGTATCGATCCTCAGCTGCCAAGGTGTCACAACAGCCCTCTGTGGCCCGTGAGGAGACCACGCAGAAAACCCCGTCCCCAAATCACAAACGGGCCTCCGCGGCTACCAGGGAGAGAACCAACAAGTCGACCCCAGGTCCACTGAGGGCTGCCAGTATGAGCAAAATGTCCCTGACTCAACCACAGATCCCCAAGGCCTGTGACATCACCCTGGGTCTCTTGCCTGGCTCCACGGTTCCTGGTCATCGCTGGGCCTTCAAGACTCAGGCTGATCCCAGTGTGTTCCCAGCCCCCCCAGGCAATAAGTTGGCACATACTCTTTCCCGTTCGGCCGTCCCTAGGCAGGAGAGGAATCGAACCCAGGGCACCGTTGCCAGTACGTACTGCCCACAGGAGCGAGTGACTGGCCATATACTCACTGAACTGGTGGCCAGTTTGCCCCAGGGTCCAGACAATGACCTGCCTGGAAGCCTCTCTCAAGGCTCCACAGACTATGGCCTGAATGTGAGTAATTCCCAGAGCTCCCTGCCTAGCTGCAGCTCGCTCAGCCTCTCCAGCATGTCTGTGGCCAGTCTGACTGCTGTCGACCTGGTGGAGGAGGAGTCCTGGGAGGCCAGCTTGGATGGGGAAATTAATCTAGATACCCTCCTCTCTGGAGAGGCTGTGGGGAGGCCCCAGAAGCCTAGAGATAGGGAAGAAACTAAGAAAGTGGGCCAGGGCCACACGACCCCATGCCTCTACTACCAGCCCTCTGCAGGCTCAAAGCTGATCCCCGTTCTGCACCAGAGCTCAGTGTCCGGTCGCGTGACCCTGAGTGTCCACTGGGGCTCAGATGATCAGGATGATGGGGATGTGTCCTCAGGTCAAAGCTCCATGGGTCTGAAGGAAAGCTTATCTCAGAAATCCTACAGGACAGGACTGACCAGAAGTCTGTCTTTGGATAATGTCCCTACCACACATGAGCAGACATCCATGGCCACTAGGTTGACCTCAAGCCTATCCCAGCCATTGGTAGTCAGTAAGGTGGCTCCAAACCCAGGCCAGCCACTTACGGTCAGTAGGGTTGCCCCCAGCCCATCTGAATTACCTGTGTCTGGTAAGGTCACCCCTAGTCTAACTGAGCCATCTATGGCTAGTAAGGTGACCCTCAGCCTAGGCCAAACATCTATCACTGGTGGGGTAGCCACAAACCTAGCCCAGCCATCTGTGACCAATGCGGTGGCCCCCAACCTAGCACAAGCATCTATCACCGGTGGGGTGGTCCCCAGCCTAGCACAGCCATCGGTGACCAGTGGGATTGCCCCTAGCCTAACCCGGCCATCTATAACTGGTGGGGTGGCCCCTAGCTTAGCTCAGGCATCTGTGACTGGAAGGGTGGCCCCCAGCCTATCTCAGGCATCTGTGACTGGTGGGTTGGCCCCCAGCCTATCTCAGGCATCTGTGACTGGCAGGGTGGCCCCCAGCCTCACCTGGCCATCTGTGACCCGTGGGGTGGCTCCCAGCCTCACCCAGGCATCTGTGACCAGCGGGGTATCCCCCAGCCTAGCCCGGCCATCTATGACTGGTGGGTTGGCCCCCAACCTCGCCCAGGCATCTGAGACCAGTGGCGTGGCCCCCAGCCTAGCTCAGGGATCTATGACTGGTGGGGTGGCCCCCAGCCTTGCCCAGGCATTTATGACTGGTGGGGTGACCCCCAGCCTTGCCCAGGCATCTGTGACTGGTGGAGTGACCCCCAGCCTCACCCGGCCATCTGTGACCAGTGGGGTGGCCCCCAGTCTTGCCCAGGCATCTGTGACCAATGGGGTTGTCCCCAGCCTAGTCCAGGCATCTGTGACCAGTGGGGTGGCCCCCAGCCTAGCTCAGGCATCTATGGCCAGTGGGGTGACTCCTAGCCTCGCCCGGCCATCTGTGACCAGTGGGGTGGTCCCCAGCCCGGCACAGGCATCTATGACTGGCGGGGTGGCCCCCAGCCTAGTCCAGGCATCTGTGACTGGTGGGGTGGCCCCCAGCCTATCTCAGGCATCTGTGACCAGTGGGTTGGCCCCCAGCCAGGCTAAGTCATCTGTAACTAAGCTGTCTATGACAAGTAGTGTAACTAGCTTAGCTAAACCATCTATAACTAAGCCATCTGTGACCAGTGGGGTAACCCCCAGCCTGGTTAAGCCATCTATGACTGATGGGGTGGCCCCCATCATAGCCCAGCTACCAGTGACTGGTGCAGTGGCTCCCAGCCCAGGTCAGGCATCCATGGCCTGTGTGGTGGCCTCCAGCCTAACCCAGCCAGCAGTGACCGGTGGAGTGGCTCCCAGCCTAGCACAGCCATCTATGATTGGTGGGATAGCCCCCAGCCTAGGCCAGCCATCAGTGGCCTGTGTGGTGGCCCCCAGCCTAGGCCAGCCATCAGTGGCCTGTGTGGTGGTCTCCACCCTAGCCCAGCCATTTGTGGCCAATAGGGGGCCCCTCAGCCTATTCCAGCCATCTGTAATTGGTGGTGCTGGTTGCGCTGTTGGCCAGTCAAATTGGATGCCTAAGGTGGGTTCAAATGTACCATCAAGGGTGGATGCAGTGGCGTCTAGCCTGCATCATCCATCATTTGTGACTGAAATCCCTGTGGGTACATCATATCCCCCTACAACTAGCAGCATGGGCCAAGATACGAACCAGTCATCTGTGGCCACCGAGATGGCCCTGTGTCAAGAGCCTGTAATGGTTGATGGGGTGGCCTCAAACCCCCAGGCCCCTGAGTTCAACGAGGTGCCCCTGACATTTCATCAGCCACTCAGTGTCAGTGGGGGGCACCCAAACATAACCGAACATTCTGCTGTCACTCTCTCCGCCCCAAATATCTACCAGACATCCGGGGCTAGTGGAGAGGACTCTTGTCTAGACCGAGGAACCAGTATATCTCCGGGGGCTCTGTTCAGGGGCATGGCTGCAAGCATCTCCCCCGGCGCTATGGCTGCTAGCATGTTCCCAAATATGTCTCGGGGGACCCTGGCTGCTGGTATGTTCCTCAGTATGTCTCCAGGACCTATGTCTCCGGGCATGACAGGGAGTGTGTGCCAGGGGAGTGTGGCGACTGGTATGGGCCCAAACCAATTTCAAGTAGTCAGCGGCATGGCTCCCATTGCATTCCCAGCCTCCGTGGCAGGGGCCCCTTTGATTCACGAACAAGCCACAGAGGTGGGTCCTGGTTTCTCTCGGGCTTCAGTGCCCAACAGACTGGGTATGAGGCCATTCAGGTTTTCTCAAGCCAACGCAGACCCCACCATGTCTCAGGTCAATGTTGATCTACCAGTATCTTTGAACCACCAGCATCCTCCTGTGTCCACAGTTGTGGCATCTGGTTACCAACAAGTTGATGCTTTCAGCCAGGAGCCCCTGATGGGCACAGCTAGTGGCCTAGTGCCAGGTTCTGTAGCCACCAGGATGCCCGCAGCCCTGGCCCCGGGTACTGCGGCCAATGCTGTTGCCCCCAGCCTTCCCCCAGGGTCTGTGATCAGGGGCGTGGGCCAGAGCCTGCCTCCAGGGCCGGTGACCAGTGGTGTGCCTCCCCACCTTCCGCCCAGTTACGTGATCAGTGGTGTGGCTCCAACCTTTCCCGCAGGGTCTGTGATCTGTAGTATCAGCCACAGCCTTCCCCCAGGATCTGTGATTAGCGGCATGGGCCAGGGTCTTCCTCCAGAACCCATGGCCAGTGCTGTGGCCCCGAGCTTTCCTCCAGGTTCTGCGGCTAGTAGGGAGTCCCCTAGCCTGACGGCAGCATCTGGGGATGGTGGGAAGAGACAAAACCTCTCCATGAGACCCTCAGTTAGTTTCACTGCTCCAAGCCTAATCCCAGGTTCAGTGTCAAACGAGACAGACACAAATGTCTCTCCTGGGTCTGTGGCTTCTAGTGTGTTTCCAACATCTGTGGCTGGAGAACTGAATCAGGGACTGGTTCTGGGGTCCACAGCTAATGCAGCCGGTGTGCCCTCCACAGTCGGAAATGTGGCCCAGAGTCTTCCCCAGGGGTCCATGCTGGTTGGGATCACTCCCCGTCCTTACCATGGAGCCCTGGCTGGAGAAGGGTCTATAGCCCCCTTCCAGGCATCCCATACCACTAGCCTGGCTCAGCTTCATCCCCAGGGCTTGGAAGCTAGTGACACAACCAGGAGAGGACACCAAGTGCCCACAGTTCTACAAAGAGCCTCACAGTTGAACCACACCCTTGAGACGATGCCATTTGAGGCCACAGATGACCAGGCCGTGATGAAGCCAGAGGGCCTGGACAAGGGTCTGTCCCAGGTGTCCATATCCAGTGGGGACTCCATGGTCCTTGATGCAACCCCATGGATGTTCCATAGTCCCCTGTCAGGTGACATTAACGACAGCCACGAATTCCTTCCCGACAGTCAAAGACCACTGTTGGAGGAGGTAGTTCCCAACCAGACCGAATCTCTGACCAGTGGCATGGCTCCTGTCCCTCCCCAGCCCCTGAATGTTGCCAACCACTCCATGGCTGGTAGTGCCACCCCAACTCTGCAGCAGAGGTCAGCAACCAGTTGGCGGCCCCCCAGCTCCCACTTTGTGACTGCTAGCAGGGTCCCCAGTGTGCTCATGGAGTCTGTCAGGGCTCCTGGGGCCCTCTTGGCTCAACAGGCATCAATGGCTCACATCATACCCCAGAGCCCCTTGGTGGCTCACATCATACCCCAGAGCCCCTCAGTGGCTCACATCATACCCCAGAGTCCCTCGGTGGCTCACGTCATACCTCAGAGCCCCTCGGTGGCTCACATCATATCCCAGAGCCCCTCAGTGGTTCATATCATACCCCAGAGCCCCCCAGCGGCTCACATCATACCCCAGAGCCCCACAGTGACTCACATCATGTCCCAGGACCCCCCAGTGACTCAGGTGCCCCAGAGCCCTGCCTATAATATGGGGGCTTCTACTATAGTTTCAGGGTCACCCAAGCTGGCCCATACCAGTCCTACGGCATTCAGCTTGCACCCAGGATCTATAACTGGGATGGGGACCCCAAGCACTTCCCAGAGGTCAGGAACCACCCACAAGGCCTCCCATGTGTCACTTTGTCCATCCAGCACTAGTGGAATGGCATCTGATGGGTTCCAGGTAGCAGCTGTCCCCAGGGCACACCAGAAGCCAGTGTCTGGGGACCTGGCTCAGAACAACCACAAGTTTCTTGGCTCTAGAAAATCCTATAGGTCCATACATGGTTATTCCGTCTCAGACATGCTAGACAGTAACATAGCCAAGGTTGTGCCCTTGCATGAAGTGCAGGAGCACACCTACAGGTCCTCACAGGAAAGTCCCAAACACTCCAAGAGTGTGCCACCGGTCGTAACACCAATCATCCGCACCACTGAGGTGGCACACAACACGGCCACCTCTAGGCTGCACCCAGGGCTTCGGAGGGTGTCTCTGGGCTATGAGTCCTCACCTGACGGCTCCTGGAGGCCCCTTTTAGCCCAGGAGTCGATGGAGGGGTCTCTGGATTTCCGTAGCGCCGGGGCTCCTGTAGACAGTGACAGGGCATCCCTGACTCCCACTGTACTCCAGGGCCCCGTGGATGCTGGCATAGCTGGTGGCCAAGCATGGAACTCTGCCGTCCCCAGTGTAGCGGTTGGGCCCATGAGCAGCGCAGTGGCCCCTGGTGGCGCGTGGGATCTGGCCAGGGCTTCTGTGCCATGGGACACCGTGGGCAGAGAGGCAGCAGCGGATCCCAGACAGTCGGGGGAGCTGGTGGCATCGATGCAGGCTGTGGAGAAGATAATCATCCATGCTGTGGTCACTATCCAGGCATGCGCACGTGGCTACCTGGTGCGCCGTACCGTCAAGGTGTGGCACCAGTGGGCCATCATCATCCAGGCTGCCTGGCGTGGCTACCGTGTGCGGCGGGACTTGGCCCGGCTCTCTCGAGCCGCCACCACCATCCAGGCTGTGTGGCGAGGCTTCCTCACTCGCCGGCCCGAGACTCAGCAAACCATGCTCCCGGCCACGTGGTGCAAAATGGGCAGCAGGACCAGGTCAGCATCCGACCACCGCTGCTTCCAGTCGTGCCAGCCACACATCTGCGCCCTCTGCCAGTCGCTGAGTCCCAGGCTGGGGAGCCCGCCCAGCGTGGTGATGCTCGTGGGTTCCAGCCCCCGCACGTGCCACATGTGTGGCCACACGCTGCCCACTCGGGTGGTGCACGGCATGGGCCGGAGCTCCATAGTCCAGGCTGGCTTGCCGTGGGGCTGCGCCACCCAGATGAATTCCCGGAGCCCCCAGCTGTCCCGTCGCCGGATTAAGGCGGCCACGGCCATCCAGTCGGCCTGGAGAGGCTTCAGCGTACGCCGCCGTCTGAAGCAGCAGCAGATGGCAGCCAAGATGCTTCAAGCCACCTGGCGCGGCAATCGCACCCGGGCCTCCCTCACTACGGACGCGCTCTTGGGGCCGGCAGCGTGGGACAGCTCGCAGCACATGCAGTGGCCAGGTGTCTAGAACATCGGCTGACTAGTGGGGCGGGGGACACCAGGGGAGGGACAGTGTGGCTCTCTGGGTCTAATGAATAAAGCCCTCCACAGCCTGGGTCTTGGTCCACCTGTGTTCATGAAGGTGTCTTGGGCATGGTTGGCAGGGTGGGGGGGCAGGGGAATTGGGAGGGTCTGGAGCATCCTGGATGGGAGAGGCCCTAAATTTTGCCTCCACCCATGCAGTTAGTACATGGGGTCTGTGGCTGGGATCGGAACCCTCAGCCTCTTCCAGAGCTCAGAGCCAACCATGTGGCCCCACATATATTACTGTGTCTATTGGGGCCTAATGGGGTGGAGTCCAGTCACTTCCAGATGAAAGCTGTCCCCAGTACATTCCAGAAGCCAGTGTTGGGAAAGCTGGCCTAAAATGGCTGCCATGAGATTGTTGGCCCTAGAAAAATCCTACAGGTGCATGCGTGGGTGCCTCGTTCAAGAAATGCTAGGCGGATCCAGCCACTTCCTGATTCGGGACACACATATAACGGGGCACAGAGAGAGGGAGGGGGCGACTCCAGAGGGGGCAGCCTGGGCGGAGGAGGGGCAGAGGAGGGTGGTGGCATGGATTTGGGGCAGCTGCAGAGGGAGCCACAGAATGAAGGGGTAGGGGGAGCAGGTGGGGCAGGAGGGTCTTGAGGGGATAGGAAGAGTTTGAGGGCTTCAGGGTGGACTGTGGTCCCGGAGCGGTTTCTAGGAGAGGTAGGGGGTCCAGGCGGAGAGCCGGCGGGGAGTGGCATCCCATGCAACAGTAGCAGCACCCAGAGGCCCCATGTCCCCAGGCCCCACATGTGCACAGCCCCACGTGCCGCGAGCAGCGTGCGTGTGCACCTGCAGGTGTAAAGAGCACCTGGCCACACACCTGCGAAGAGCCCGCCTTTTGTCCTTCCCACACAGGAATGGCAGGCTCCCAGCTGCCCCCGCCACTTCTGCTGCTGGTTCTGGTGCTGCTGCTGGGGAATTTCTCTTCACAGACACCTCCAGAGGTAAGAACAGGGAAGGAGGCGGCCTGGCTTCCAAGAAGCTGGAGCAGACATGGGGCCCAGCTGCACACCTGGCTTCTGGAGCCCTCCTTCAGGCCACACTGGGCAGCCTGCCCCGCCCCCCCCACCTCCCCCCAAAGTTGAAGGGCCGGATTTCAAAAGTCCGTTTCTTTTAGCCAGCCCCCCCCCCAGGGAAAGGAGTGAGGACCCCAGGGCAATGGTGGGGGAGTGGACACGAGAGCTCACTTCCCGGCCGCAAAGCATTTATGGCTCCCAGGAGACTTTCTTGGCACCTGACTTAATTTCCATCTGCTGCTCCCTAAGATGGTTCCCAGAGTGCAGGGTGGTTTAGCTCGGATCCTCCTCCCCCCGCCCTCCATCTCCCACCAGGCCATTGCTCTCTCTGACCCCATGCCCCAGCCCCAAATCTGGAATATCCAGTGGACACCACCACGCATGGCACTCTTCCTGCAGGCAAGGGCTTCGCTCAGAAGGCACATTTACCCTCATTGCGGAGCCCAGGAAACTGAGGCGGAGGCAAGCCGAGTCTCCCAGCTGTGCCAGGCCCAGGTTAGAACCAGATGACTTGGCTCTTGCCAGCCTCCGGGTCTAGGACTCTCTGGGCAAAGCAAACTCCTGGCACAGTGCGTGGGAAGAGCCCCCCTTCACCTTCTGGTCAGGTCTCCCGCAGCTCATGCACACCTGCCGGCTCTGTGCTGGGCGCTCAGCAGAGCTTGTGTCCTCCTCCGCCTCCTCTTTCAAGGCCCACTGCTATTCTCCCGTTCACGCGAAAAGTTTGGCTCTCTAGGGTCCTGGCATGGCTGGGGGTTCACTGCGGCCCTGAGTAATCTTCTGATTTCAGCAGAAATTCCTCAGTGATGGGAAGCAGTCTGGGGAGGCTGGCCTTTTGGTCCTTGACTCCTTGGAGGTCATTAAGGGGCCCTCTTACCATGTTCCCAGTCACCTGAGGCCAGACTCGTACCATTCTGAGCCTCTGTTCCCCATGTGTGAAATGGGAATGCCATCAGGCCAGTGCATGGTGCCTCTTCTAGATTTCTGTGTCATTCCCCACAGAGCTTGGGAGACTGGACAGAGAACTGGCGGCGGTGGTGGTGGTGGTGGTGAGGTGTCTGTGTGTAGACCCAGCTCCCTCCTGGGGCCAGCACTGGATGTTACTTCTGCATTTTTGATGCCTGGGGTGAGGCAAAAGAGGAAGCATACAGACTCACCCAGGGCAGAGTGGATGGGGTGGGGCAGGGAGCCGTTGATGGATGAACTGGCAAGCTGCTAAAATGCCTAGGAGCCCAGAACTGGGAAGTAAAACATTTACCCACCCTCAGTCTAGCTCCTGGGCTCAGTGCCTGGGATGGGGTAGGAGCCAGGGAGTGGCTGGAACAAAGCAGGGTAGATTTCCAGAGACCCAATCCACTGATTCTTCCCAGAGCCCAGACTTCTAAGCCAGGCCCTCATTAAGGACTCTGAGTTTAGCCTTGGGGACCTTCCAAGTATCTGGTGAAGAAGATTAGGGCTGATTCCTACCCCCACCCCACCCCCGAGAGCTCGGAGGTGGATCCATGCAGATGAGCACCACTGAATACCTACTAGGTGCCAAACCTATGTGAGCACTCGGAGGCTCTGCCTCATGATGATATCCATTCGACAGACAAAGAAACTGAGTCCCAGAAAGTTTAAGAGAGTTCCCCAGGGGGACCTGGTTGGCTCAGCTGGTGGAGTGTACAACTCCTAATCTCAGGGTCATACGTTCAAGCCCCACATTGGGAGGGTGGGGTTTACTTAAAGAAAGAGTTCCCCAGCAGGCTGCCTGGGTTCAGAGGGCCTCTAGAGCCCTGAAACAAGAATAGGGGCTGGGAGGGCCTGACCTGGCCTGGAACCCTGGCTGTGGGACTTCAGACAAGAGTGCCTTGTTTTCCACTGAGCACTTGCATGGTGCACTAAATCCCCCAGGTCTTGCTGAGAGGCAGGTGTTTGCTATCTGGGATAATAGGGAAGTTGACATCCAGAGAAGGGCTGGGGCCAGGGCTGGGGCTGGAGCTGGGGCTGCACACCCTCATTCCTGACCATCTCTTCCTCACACCCTCCATGGTAGTTTCCTTCCCTGGGTTATTTTTGCTGGTGCTCTTGGAGAGCAGGGTGGAGAAGCCAACTTCCAAGGTACAGCTCCTCCAGTTCAGTGGAAACCTCCACCAACCACTTCAGCACCCCCAAGTTCAGAGACAGGCTCGACCATCCATCCCAGAACCCCAAGTTTGGAGACAGGCTTGTTAAAACAGAAAATTTAATGGAGTAAAATGTGAAGATCTAAATGACTGTACTGATGATTCATGAATTGGGTAACATCCCATCTTAGCAGATACAAAGGAGTTCTGAGGAGCTGTACAGAATAGAAGCCTCTTATAGCCTCTTATAGGAAGAGAAGGGAATTTTCTAGCAAAGGCAAGTTTACCTTCCTTTGGGGGAAAGCAGAGGAGAGGCATCTGTTGGGCAGATTATCTCCCAAGGGCTGACCAGATCAATCCAGATCGATGGGGCAAAGGTCATACTTTGGTGGGGGGTGTGGAAACCCCAATTCGATCAGGTGTTAAGTCTTGGTTTGCTGATGTGGAGCTTAGCACAAGTAACTCCATTTTGGACCTGTTTCTTTTTTAGCAGACTCAATGGAGCGGTGCCCCTAGTTCAGGGGAAGACTCCATGATCTCCCATAGGTCTTCAAGTTCAGAGGCAAACCCCACCATCCAGCCCAGCTCCAGCTCCACAAGTCCAGGGTTGGCGCCCACCTTCCCGCAACCAGAAACAGTCACCCCCTCCCAGTTCTGGCTCCCCCAGTTCAGAGCTCACCACTACCTCCCACTCTCCAAATTCCACCACCTTGACCCTGCATTGGAGCTCCTCTTCTCCCAGCCCCAGAACAGAGCCCCCCTCCATGCCCTCCAACACCACTGATGGGACCTCTGTGGCCACTGGCCCTGGTGAGTGCTGAGAGGTTTGGGGGTTGGGGGAGTGGTTAGGGGTACCAGGCTGCAGTTCTGCAATCGGCCACCAGGGAGAGACACAGACCTGCGAATACGTGGAAGAAGGGCTTCTCCCCACCCTCCGCCCGGTGTCACCTAAAGCCCTCAGGCCTTCATTCTATGCACATTTATTGAGCACCTAGTGTGTATCAGATCCTGGAGACACAGCTTTGTTGGGAGACAGATTATGAGTAAATTATAGACTTGTTTCTAGGGGATCCCTGGGTGGCTCAGCGGTTTAGTGCCTGCCTTTGGCCCAGGGCCGGATCCTGGAGTCCTGGGATGGAGTCCCAGGTCGGGCTCCCTGCATGGAGCCTGCTTCTCCCTCTGCCTGTGTCTCTGCCTCTCTCTATCTCTCTCTCATATACTTGTTTCTAAAAGAACAAAATAAACAGGATAAGGAATCAGAATGCAAATACAAGCTGATTGAATGGTTTTCCCCCCATTTTTAAAAATATTTTTTTAAAGATTTTATTTATTTATTCATGAAACACACACACACACACAGAGGCAGAGACACAGGCAGAGGGAGAAGCAGGCTCCATGCAGGGAGCTCAACGTGGGATTCAATCCCTGGGCTGAAGGCGGCGCTAAACCGCTGAGCCACCCGGGCTGCCCTAAAAAGATTTTTTTAAAAAAGATTTTATTTATTTATTCATGATAGTCACGGGGGGGGGGGGGGGCAGAGACATAGGCAGAGGGAGAAGCAGGCTCCATGCAGGGAGCTTGACGTGGGATTCGATCCCGGGGCCCCAGGATCGCGTCCTGGGCCAAAGGCAGGCGCTAAACCGCTGTGCCAGTTCCAGCTCCACAAGTCCAGGGTTGGCGCCCACCTTCCCGGGATCCAATTAAGGATCCCGTGGCGCAGCAGTTTGGCGCCTGTCTTTGGCCCAGGGCGCGAACCTGGAGACCCGGGATCGGGTCCCACATCGGGCTCCCGGTGCCTGGAGCCTGCTTCTCCC